GATTTTGGATTGGAGCAAAAAAAAAAACAACCCCAAAAAAATCCCAAACAAAACCCAAACAAACAAACAAAAAAAAACCCCAAAAAAACCCCCCAAAAAAAACCCCAAAAAACAGAAAAACCCCAAAAAACACACAAAAAACCCCAAAAAACCCCCAAAATAACAAAAAAACCCCAAAAAACCCAAATAAAACAAACAAAAAACCCCCACAAAAAACAGAAAAACCCCAAAAAACACACTAAAAAACCCCAAAAAAACCAAAATAACAAAAAAACCCAAAAAAACCAAAAAACCAAAAAAAACCCCAAACAAACAAACAAAAAAAACCCAAAAAAACCCCAGAAAAACCCCAAAAAACACACAAAAAACCCCAAAATAACAAAAAAAACCCCAAAAAACCAAAAAAACCCAAATAAAACAAAAACAAATAAAAACCCACCAAAAAAACCTCCAAAAAACCAGAAAAAACCCAAAAAACACACCAAAAACAAAAAAACCCCAAAATAACAAAAAAAAACTCAAAAACCAAAAAACCCAAATAAAACAACAGCAAAAAAAAAACAACACAAAAAACCCCCCAAAAAAACAGAAAAACCCCCAAAACCACACAAAAAACCCAAAACCCCCCCCAAAATAACAACAACAACAAAAAAACCAAAAAACAACAAAAAACTAAAAAAGCCAAAAAAACCCACAAAAAAACAAACAAAAACCCCCCAAAAAAATAAACCCCTCCAAAAAAGAAAACAAAACAAAAAAAAAAAAAGAAAACCCCAAAAAACCCCCCCCCAAAAAAACCCCAAAAAACCCAGAAAAACCCCAAAAAACACACAAAAAGATTTTGTAAAGAGATTTTTTTTTTAATTTCCATCTGCAGAGCCGCTCCCGTTTCTTTAAATAAAACAAAATCACTGAATAATTAAAGCCTGAAAATTTCTGCTCTTAGTCATGTCTCAAAATGGGATTTTTATATATATATATTTATTTTTTATTTTTTATTCTGGAGGAATTGCAAAATAAGCAAATTTCCCAGAAATGAGCTAATTTTAGTGATGCTGGAAAATGAGGGGAAAATTGGGAAAAAAAAATCTGAGAGGAAAATTATTTAAAAATAAAAAATAGGGAGAAAAAAAATCTGAGAGAAAATTATTTATAGATAAAAAATAGGGGAAAAAAAATATGAGAGGAAAATAATTAAAAATAAAAAATAGGGGGAAAAACTGAGAGAAAATTATTTAAAAATAAAAAATAGGGGGAAAAATCTGAAAAGAAATTATGTGAAAATTAAAAATAGGGGGAAAATCTGAAAGGAAATTATTTAAAGATAAAAAATAAGGGAAAAAAAATCTGAGAGGAAAATAATTAAAAATAAAAAATAGGGGGAAAATCTGAGAGGAAATTATGTGAAAATAAAAAATAGGGGGAAAAATCTGAGAGGAAATTATGTGAAAATAAAAAATACGGGGGAAAATCTGAGAGGAAATTATGTGAAAATAAAAAATACGGGGGAAAATCTGAGAGGAAATTATGTGAAAATAAAAAATTGGGGCAAAATCTGAGAGGAAATTATTTGAAAATAAAAAATAGGGGGAAAATCTGAGAGGAAATTATTTAAAAATAAAAAATAGGGGGAAAATCTGAGAGGGAATTATTTAAAAATAAAAAATAGGGGAAAAATCAGAGAGGAAATTATTTAAAAATAAAAAATAGGGGGAAAAATCTGAGAGGAAATTATGTGAAAATAAAAAATAGGGAGAAAAAAAATATGAGAGAAAATTATTTAAAAATAAAAAATAGGGGGAAAAATTTGAGAGGAAATTATGTGAAAATAAAAAATAGGGGAAAAATCTGAAAGGAAATTATGTGAAAATAAAAAATAGGGGGAAAATCTGAGAGGAAATTATTTAAAAATAAAAAATAGGGAGAAAATCTGAGAGGAAATTATGTGAAAATAAAAAATAGGGGGAAAAATCAGAGAGAAAATTATTTAAAAATAAAAAATAGGGGAAAAATCTGAGAGGAAATTATGTGAAAATAAAAAATAGGGGAAAAATCTGAGAGGAAATTATGCAAAAATTAAAAATAGGGGGAAAATATGAGAGGGAATTATTTGAAGATAAAAAATGGGAAAAATCTGAGAGGAAATTATGTGAAAATAAAAATAGGGGGAAAATCGGAGAGAAAATTATTTAAAGATAAAAAATAGGGGAAAATCGGAGAGGAAATTATGTGAAAATAAAAATAGGGGGAAAAATGTGAGAGGAAATTATGTGAAAATAAAAAATAGGGGGAAAATCTGAGAGGAAATTATGGGAAAATAAAAATAGGGGGAAAATCTGAGAGGAAATTATGGGAAGATAAAAAATAGGGGGAAAATCTGAGAGGAAATTATGTGAAAATAAAAAATAGGGGGGGAAATCTGAGAGGAAATTATGGGAAGATAAAAAAATAGGGGGAAAAATCTGAGAGGAAAATGAGGATTAAATAATTTGAGGAGGAAATAATCGGAGGGAAAATGAGGATTAAATTATCTCAGAGGGAAAAATCAGAGAGGAAAATTAAAGTTAAATAATGTAAGGGAAAAGGAGAGTGAAATAATCTGAGGGAAAATGAGGGTGGAATAATTTGAGGGGAAAATTAGGGGGAAATGATCTGAGGGGAAAATGAGAATTAAATAATCTGAGGGGGAAAAATATGAGAGGAAAATGAGAGTGAAATAATCTGAGGGAAAATGAGAGTGAAATAATCTGAAAGTGAAAAAATGTGAGAGGAAAATAAGAGTGAAATAATCTGAGGGGAAATGAGGATGAAATAATGTGAGAGGAGAATGAGGGTGAAATAATCTGAGGGAAAATGAGGATTAAATAATTTGAGGGGGAAAATCTGAGAGGAAAATGAGGGTGAAATTATGTGAGGGTGAAATTATCTGAGAGAAAATGAGGATTAAATAATTTGAGAGGGAAAAATCTGAGAGGAAAATCAAAGTGAAATAATGTAAAGGAAAAGGAGAGTGAAATAATCTGAGGGAAAATGAGAGTGAAATAATCTGAGGGGAAGATGAGGGAGAAATGATCTGAGGGGAAAATGAGAATTAAATAATCTGAGAGGGGAAAAATTTGAGAGGAAAATGAGGGTGGAATAATCTGAGAGGGAAAATGAGGGGGAAAAATCTGAGGAAAATGAGGGTAAAATAATCTGAGGGTGAAATAATCTGAGGGAAAATGAGGATTAAATAATCTGAGGAGGAAAAATGTGAGAGGAAAATGAGGGTGGAAAAATCTGAGGATAAAAAATAGGATGAAAAAATTTACGAGGAAAATGAGGGGGAAATTATTTGAAGATAAAAAATAGGGAGGAAAAAATCTGTGAGGAATATGAGGATTAAATAATATGAGGGAAAATGAGGATTAAATAATTTGAGAGGGAAAAATCTGAGAGGAAAATGAGGGGGAAATGATCTGAGGGAAAATGAGGAATAAATAATCTGAGGGGGAAAAATATGAGAGGAAAATGAGGAATAAATAATCTGAGGGTGAAATAATTTGAGTGAAAATGAGGATTAAATAATCTGAGGGGGAAAATATGAGAGAAAAATGAGGGGGAAATGATCTGAGGGAAAATGAGGGGGAAAAAATCTGAGGGTGAAATAATCTGAGAGGAAAATGAGGGTGAAATGATCTGAGGGGAAGATGAGGATGGAATAATTTGAGGGGAAATGAGGATGAAATAATGTGAGGGGAAAATGAGGGGGAAGTTATTTGAAGATGAAAAATAGGGTGAAATAATCTGAGAGGAAAATGAGAGTGAAGTAATCTGAGGGAAAATGAGGATTAACCAATTTTGGGAGGGAAAAATCTGAGAGGAAAATGAGGGTGGAATAATCTGAGGGGGAAAAATCTGAGAGGAAAATGAGGATTAAATAATCTGAGGGGGAAAAATCTGAGAGGAAAATCAAAGTGAAATAATGTAAGGGAAAAGGAGAGTGAAATAATCTGAGGGAAAATGAGGATTAAATAATCTGAGAGGGAAAAATCTGAGAGGAAAATGAGAGTGGAATAATCTGAGGGTGAAATAATCAGAGGGAAAATGAGGATTAAATAATCTGAGGGGGAAAAAATCTTGAGAGGAAAATGAGGGGGAAATGATCTGAGAGGGAAAATGAGGGGGAAAAAATCTGAGAGGAAAATGAGGGTGGAATAATCTGAGGGAAATGAGGATTAAATGATCTGAGGGAGAAAAATCTGAGAGGAAAATGAGGGTGAAATAATCTGAGGGAAAATGAGAGTGAAATAATCTGAGGGAAATGAGGATTAAATAATCTGAGAGGGAAAAAATCTGAGAGGAAAATGAGGATTAAATAATTTGAGGAGGAAATAATCCGAGGGAAAATGAGGATTAAATAATCTGAGGAGGAAAAATGTGAGAGGAAAATGAGGGTGGAATAATCTGAGGAGAAAAAATAGGATGAAAAAATGTGAGAGGAAAATGAGGGGGAAATAATCTGAGAGGGAAAAAATCTGAGGGAAAATGAGGATTAAATGATCTGAGGGTGAAAAAATCTGAGAGGAAAATCAAAGTGAAATAATGTAAGTGAAAAGGAGAGTGAAATAATCTGAGAGGGAAAATGAGGGTGAAATAATTTGAAGGGAAGATGAGGGGGAAATAATCTGAGGGAAAATGAGGATTAACCAATTTTGAGAGGGAAAAATCTGAGAGGGAAAATGAGGGTGGAATAATCTGAGCGGAAGATGAGGGGGAAATTAACTGAGGGAAAAATAAGAATTAAATAATCTGAGAGGGGAAAAATCTGAGAGGAAAATGAGGGTGGAATAATCTGAGGGAAAATGAGAGTGAAATAATCTGAGGGTGAAATAATTTGAGGGGAAATGAGGGTGGAATAATCTGAGGGAAAATGAGAGTGAAATAATCTGAGGGTGAAATAATATGAGAGGAAAATGAGGGTGGAATAATCTGAGGGAAAATGAGAGTGAAATAATCTGAGGGTGAAATAATATGAGAGGAAAATGAGGGTGGAATAATCTGAGGGAAAATGAGAGTGAAATAATCTGAGGGAAAATGGGGATTAACCAATTTTGGGAGGGAAAAATCTGAGAGGAAAATGAGGGTGAAATAATCTGAGGGTGAAATAATCTGAGAGAAAATTAGGATTAAATAATCTGAGGGTGGAATAATCTGAGTGAAAATGAGGATGAAATAATCTGAGGATAAAAAATAGGATGAAAAAATTTGAGAGGAAAATGAGGGGGAAATTATTTGAAGATAAAAAATAGGGAGGAAAAAATGTGAGAGGAAAATGAGGGTGGAAAAATCTGAGGGAAAATGAGGATTAAATGATCTGAGGGAGAAAAATCTGAGAGGAAAATGAGTGGGAAATTATCTGAGGATAAAAAATAAGATGAAAAAATTTGAGAGGAAAATGAGGGGAAAATTATCTGAGAGGGAAAATGAAGGGGAAAAAATCTGAGAGGAAAATGAGGATTAAATAATCTGAGGGTGAAATAATCTGAGGGAAAATGAGGATTAAATGATCTGAGAGGGAAAAATCGGAGAGGAAAATGAGGGTGAAATTATCTGACAGGAAATTGAGGGTGAAATAATCTAAAAGTGAAATAATCTGAGGGAATAATTACAATTAAATGATCTGAGGGGGAAATAATCTTAAGGAAAATGAGATTGGAATGATCTGAGGGGAAAACGAGGATGAAATAACACGTGGAGGAAAATGAGGGTAAAATAATCTGAATTTCTTTCCTTTTTACCTCCAATCTTCCAACATTCCCAGCTGTAAATAAACCTCATTTTTCCTGAGGGTCTGGAGATCAAATCCATAATGAAAATAAAATATTGCAGCTCTATCAGGAGCTTTTAATAACTGTAATAAAATGCAGTTAAAGTGCTGATCTGCATTGATTTTTGCTCCTCTGGGAAAACAGTTCCCCGTGTTTTTAAATATATCTCCAAAGTGATATATTTAAAATTATTTTCCTTTCAGCTTCTAAATATATCACTTAAAAGCTGCGATTTGCAGGTGGTTTTATGTCTGAAAATGTGGTTTTTTTCCCTTTTTTTTTTAATTTTTTAAAATATTTTTTATTTTTTAAAATATATTTTATTTTTAAATTTTTTTTTAATATTTTTTATTTTTATCCACCAGAAGCTGTTTAATGAATGCTCAATCCTGCAGCTCCTCAGGTTTCTCCTGGAATTTCAGAAAAATAAAAAATCTGCCCTGGATTCAGGGGAAATTACCCCAAAGCTGGGGTAATTTTTATTTTAATGAGGATGGTGGTAATTAGGAACTTTTCACATTTAATTGCGTTCGTATTTCTGTGGGTAAATCATTCCTGCAGAATTGTGGGCTCAGAAATTTTTAGGGTCGGGTTTAAATCGGGTTTAAATTGGGGTTAGAATTGGATCATCTTTAATTATATTATTATCATTATTATTGGATTATTCTCTATTATATTAATATCCTTAAAATAATGATGGTGAAACGATCTGAGGGTGAAAATGAGGATTAAATAATGGGGATAAATGAGGGTGAAATAATCTGAGAGGAAAAATAGGATTAAATAATCTGAGGGGAAAAATAGGATTAAATAATCTGAGGGGAAAAAATGAGGATGAAATAATCTGAGGGCGAAAATGAGGATTAAATAATGGGGATAAATGAGGGTGAAAAATCTGTGGGGGAAGATGAGAGTGGAATTATTTGAGGAGAAAAATTGTTGTGAAATAATCTGAGGGGAATATAAAGGTGAGATAATCTGAGGGGAAAAAATAATATGGAATAATATGAGGGGAAAAATAGGATGAAATAATATGAAGGGAAAAATAGGATGAAATATTATGAGGGGAAAAAATAGGATAAAATAATATGAGGGGAAAAATAGGATGAAATAATATGAGGGGAAAAAATAGGATTAAATAAAATGAGGGGGAAAATGAGGATAAAATAATCTGAGGGGAAAAAATAGGATGAAATAATATGAGGGGAAAAAATGAGGATAAAATAATCTGAGGGGAAAAATGAGGATGAAATAATCTGAGGGGGAAAATGAAGGTGAAATAATCAGAGGAAATAATTACAGTGAAATGATCTGAGAGCAAAAATGAGGATTAAATAATGGGGATAAATGAGGGTGAAATAATCTGAGAGGAAAAAATAGGATGAAATAATATGAAGGGAAAAATAGGATGAAATAATCTGAGGGGAAAAATGGGATTAAATAATCTGAGGAGAAAAATAGGATGAAATAATCTGAGGGAAAAAATAGGATTAAATAATATTAGGGGGAAAAATGGGATAAAATAATCTGAAGGGAAAAATAGGATTAAATTATTTGATGGCGAAAATGAGGATTAAATAAAGGGGATAAATGAGGGTGAAATAATCTGAGGGGGAAGATGAGAGTGGAATGATTTGAGGAGAAAAATTGTGGTGAAATAATCTGAGGGGAATATAAGGGTGGGATAATCTGAGGGGAAAAATAGGATTAAATAATATGAGGGGAAAAATAGGATTAAATAATATGAGGGGGAAAATAGGATGAAATAATCTGAGGGGAAAAATAGGATAAAATAATATGAGGGGAAAAAATAGGATGAAATAATCTGAGGGGAATATTAGGGTGAGATAATCTGAGGGGAAAAAATGAGGATGAAATAATCTGAGGGGAAAAGATATAATGAAATAATCTGAGGGGAAAAATAGGATTAAATAATATGAGGGGAAAAATAGGATGAAATAATATGAGGGGAAAAAATAGGATGAAATAATCTGAGGGGAAAAATTATTATGAAATAATCTGAGGGGAAAATGAGGATTAAATAATTGGGATAAATGAGGGTGAAATAATCTGAGGGGGGAAATTGTGGTGAAATAATCTGATGGGAATATGAGGGTGAGATAATCTGAGGGGAAAAAATAGGATTAAATAATATGAGGGGAAAAATGAGGATAAAATTATATGAGGGGAAAAATAGGATGAAATAATCTGAGGGGAAAAATAGGATTAAATAATCTGAGGGGGAAAATAGGATGAAATTATCTGAGGGGAAAAATGAGGATTAAATAATGGGGATAAATGAGGGGGAAATAATCTGAGGGGGAAAATGAGAGTGAAATGATTTGAGGAGAAAAATTATAGTGAAATAATCTGAGGGGAAAAAATAGGATTAAATAATATTAGGGGGAAAAATGGGATAAAATAATCTGAAGGGAAAAAATCGGATTAAATTATTTGAGGGCAAAAATGAGGATTAAATAATTGGGGATAAATGAGGGTGAAATAATCTGAGGGGAAAAATGGGATGAAATAATCTGAGGGGAAAAAATATTATGAAATAATCTGAGGGGAAAAATGAGGATTAAATAATCTGAGGGGTAAAAATGAGGATGAAATAATCTGAAGGGTAAAAATGAGGATGAAATAATCTGAGGGGAAAATGAGGATTAAATAATTGGGATAAATGAGGGTGAAATAATCTGAGGGGGAAAATTGTGGTGAAATAATCTGAGGGGAATATAAAGGTGAGATAATCTGAGGGGGAAAATAGGATTAAATAATATGAGGGGAAAAAATGAGGATGAAATAATCTGAGGGGAAAATGAGGATGAGATAATCTGAGGGGAAAAATAGGATTAAATATGAGGAGAAATGAGAGTGAAATGATCTGACAGGAAACTGAGGGTGAAATAATCTGAGGGGAAAATGAAGGTGAAATAATCAGAGGAAATAATTACGGTGAAATGATCTGAGGGCAAAAATGAGGAATTAATAATGGGGATAAATGAGGGTGAAATAATCTGAGGGGAAAATGAAGGTGAAATGATCTGAGGGTGAAAATGAGGATTAAATAATGGGGATGAATGAGGGTGAAATAATCTGAGGGGGAAGATGAGAGTGGAATGATTTGAGGAGAAAAATTATGGTGAAATAATCTGAGGGGAATATAAAGGTGAGATAATCTGAGGGGAAAAATAATATGGAATAATATGAGGGGGAAAATATTATGAAATAATCTGAGGGGAAAAAATGGGATGAAATTATTTGAGGGGAAAAATGAGGATTAAATAATCTGAGGGAAAAATGAGGATTAAATAATATGAGGGGAAAATGAGGATTAAATAATTGGGATAAATGAGGGTGAAATAATCTGAGGGGGAAAAATGAGGATGAAATAATATGAGGGGAAAAATAGGATGAAATAACATGAGGAGGAAAATAGGATAAAATAATCTGAGGGGAAAAAATAGGGTGAAATAATATGAGGGGGAAAATAGGATGAAATAATGTGAGGGGAAAAATGAGGATGAAATTACATGAGGGGAAAAATAGGATTAAATAATATGAGGGGAAAATAGGATGAAATAATCTGAGGGGAAAAAATAGGATTAAATTATATGAGGGGAAATGAGAGTGAAATGATCTGACAGGAAACTGAGGGTGAAATAATCTGAGGGGGAAAATGAAGGTGAAATAATCAGAGGAAATAATTATGGTGAAATGGTCTGAGGGGAAAATGAGGATTAAATAATGGGGATAAATGAGGATGAAATAATCTGAGGGGGAAAATGGGAGTGGAATTATTTGAGGAGAAAAATTATGGTGAAACAATCTGAGGGGAATATAAGGGTGAGATAATCTGAGGGGAAAAATAGGATTAAATAATATGAGGGGAAAAAATGAGGATGAAATAATCTGAGGGGAAAAAATAGGATGAAATAATATGAGGGGAAAAATGGGATGAAATAATATGAGGGGAAAAAATAGGATGAAATAATCTGAGGGGAAACTGAGGGTGAAATTTGAGGGGGAAAATGAAGGTGAAATAATCAGAGGAAATAATTATGGTGAAAAGGTCTGAGGGGAAAAATGAGGAATAAATAATTTGGGATAAATGAGGGTGAAATAATCTGAGGGGGAAATGAGAGTGAAATGATTTGAGGAGAAAAATTATGGTGAAATAATCTGAGGGGAATATAAGGGTGAGATAATCTGAGGGGAAAAAATAGGATTAAATAATATGAGGGAAAAAAATAAAATGAAATAATATGAGGGGAAAAATAGGATGAAATAATATGAGGGGAAAAATAGGATGAAATAATCTGAGGGTGAAAATGAAGGTGAAATAATCAGAGGAAATAATTACAGTGAAATGGTCTGAGGGGGAAAATGAGGATTAAATAATGGGGATAAATGAGGGTGAAATAATCTGAGGGGGAAGATGAGAGTGAAATGATTTGAGGAGAAAAATTGTGGTGAAATAATCTGAGGGGAATATAAAGGTGAGATAATCTGAGGGGAAAAATAGGATGAAATAATGTGAGGGGAAAAAATAGGATGAAATGATCTGAGGGGAAAAAATAGGATTAAATAATATGAGGGGGAAAATAGGATGAAATAATATGAGGGGAAAAAATGGGATGGAATAATATGAGGGGAAAAAATATTATGAAATAATCTGAGGGAAAAAATGAGGATTAAATAATCTGAGGTGGAAAATGAGGATTAAATAATCTGAGGGGTAAAAATGAGGATGAAATAATCTGAGGGGAAAATGAGGATTAAATAATTGGGATAAATGAGGGTGAAATAATCTGAGGGGAAAAAATAGGATTAAATAATCTGAGGGGAAAAATATTATGAAATAATCTGAGGGGAAAATGAGGATTAAATAATATGAGGGGAAAATGAGGATTAAATAATATGAGGGGAAAAAATAAAATGAAATAATATGAGGGGAAAAAATAGGCTGAAATAATCTGAGGGGGAAAATTAGGATTAAATAATTGGGGATAAATGAGGGTGAAATAATCTGAGGGGGAAGATGAGCGTGGAATGATTTGAGGAGAAAAATGTGGTGAAATAATCTGAGGGGAATATAAAGGTGAGATAATCTGAGGGGAAAAAATAATATGGAATAATATGAGGGGGAAAATTGGATTAAATAATCTGAGGGGAAAAATAGGATTAAATAATATGAGGGGAAAAAATAGGATAAAATAATATGAGGGGAAAATGAAGGTGAAATAATTATGGTGAAATTATCTGAGGGGAAAAATGAGGATTAAATAATGGGGATAAATGAGGGTGAAATAATCTGAGGGGAAAATGAAGGTGAAATAATCAGAGGAAATAATTACATTGAAACGATCTGAGGGGAAAATGAGACCAAACCATTCCACAATACAGAAAACTCCGTTTCTGTGCAGGAAAACCGCTTTTATTCCATGCTTGGATTGCTTCCTTTGTCCCTAAAAATCAGATTTTTTTTTTTTTTCCTCACCAGCCATCAGTCAGGATAATGCCAATCACCGCCTGCCTGCAGCTCCCATTCACAAAAAGCTGCTGCTCAGTAAAAAAAGAGCATTTCTGACCATTTTTCTGCCTGAAACAGGGATGATTTCCTCACTTTGCAACCCCCAGGCTCATTCTGTTCTGGAGCTTTTTACACCAGAAAAAAACAGATTTATTTGGGTTTTTTTTTTAGTTTTTTTTCCACCATTCACAA